ACTAAACATGATAAGATTGCAGCCTTTGCCACGTTGTATTTTGGGTACGAGAAGTGTGAACATAAAGTATATGATATTGTCTTGTGTATTATAAGACGATAGAGGTATCAATTATTTTCAAACCATTATACTGGTGTAGTTGTATCAGAGAAGTCCTGTTGAAACTTTTTTTTTTTAATTATTTCAAATTAATTTAATGCGTCTTTTTAAACGTCTTATCCATTAAAAATTACAAACGAAATGAAAATATAAGCTTTATCTTTCACCTAAATTCATCATACGAAAAACCGAGCACCAATTTGAAGACATTCTGATATATAATGGAAAAAGAGTTTTTTTTTTCAAATATGATTTTATGCGAAACGAATATACCAAAAATGTTTAAAAAAACGTACAAAAAAAAAACAACACGAAAATACAAAGCATATTGAAGCTAACATGTATAGTATCGGTAACAAAATTGGAGGTGTACCAACAATCTTTGTTAAAACTCATAAATGAATTTGAGTTATGCTAAAGGAATCTATAATTAAGATTCTTGAATGAAAAATGATATAAAAACGATTTGTCAGAGAGGTAAAAACAGTCAAAGTAACGACCAAGGTTTATACACAAATAACACTAAAATAGAACTGGAGCATCAACATCGTAAACAGCGATAGCTTCCACAGGTCGGTTTTCGGCAACTTCCACTAAATTTCAACAAGGCTGTGCACATCGCGCCATATATTTTTTTTCTATAAAAATTCTTTTACATGTCAAATTGAAACGGCATTAATTCTGAAGAAAAAAAAGAATTCCAAAAAAGTAGAACATGGACTGCATCTTATCAATATAAAAATTTCTATCTGATTACCGTCCAAAATCTCCATTTAAACGAACCAATTAGCAGCTTAAATTTTGTTTACTAAATATCTCATTAAATAAATCACATATATTGCAGCATAACTTTTACACATCAGTTTACATAGCAACTTATTGATTAAAATATACTGCCGCATTCAGAGATTTCAATTATAATCTACACGCGTAACCTAATTGCCTTGTTATAACATGTACAAACTTATCTGTTTGTCTGCCAGTTATACTAACACAGTTTGCACATCTCTTAATTCAGCCTTACTTACAGCAGACAATAAACATACAGGAAATATAAAAATAGCACATCACCAACATTGTATAAAATGGTAGCCAAGCGTTTCTATAAGTAAAAAACGGTACATCATTTATATCTACAAACATAACCGACTTATCACCGAAATCGGTTCATAAAGACAATTCTATACAGCAATTCCATTAGCATGATCTAAATAGGATTTCATATCCTCGACTAAAAAATCTACCACAGGTAGGTAAATAACTGCTGCCAACTTAATCTTTATTTACATCTATTTAAACATTGACGTTTGATGTCGAGTGTGAATTTATCCTTTGCGTAATGAAGACCTCTATATTGGATATGTGTTAAATTCAAAAGGTGTCATTACACCTGGCAAATGGAAGTTTGCACTACTCGGTTGTGATTAGATACTGAATTGGCCTAATGGAATGAGAGTGTATTTACCCTGATACTAACATAACACTAAATGAAATGTCCGTAACACCTACGTATGTAAGTTAATCCCCTAAACCCTATTTATCATCCGTTATTAATGAAATTGCACTCATAATTATGATAAACCCGTGTACTTCTCATTCAAAAAAATCTCCCGTTTCCTATGAAATATTCCAATTAATTATACGTGATATCGGATGTAGAATCTAAGTAGGTTAAAACAGCCGTCTACATGATGTAGGAGTATTCATGATGTTCCATCACTAATTATACATTCCTACTTGATCCGGGATAATAGACAGGTTGATGACGACGTAATATCCTGAAAACCTTTTGAAAATTTATAATATCAATACTTTGTGGCAAATAATAAAGACCCCCGTCTGTGTCTATGTGGAATGGTCTGTCTCGGCTTAAATAATATATAACGAATCCTTTTTCACCAAACGAGTATACAAAAGTTCTCTCTCTGATAATGTGGGTGTCATACTAACAAAGTGTAAGGTCTTGTGGCAGACACTCCTACTGTTCGCGAGAAGTTTTACTGTAAAGAGGTCAACCAAAGGGTCCGATGGGTTGTCTGACCTAGCGCTGACCTACAAGTCTGTGTCTGATGGTTGTCCTGTACAAGTCATTGGGAACACAAAACCATTAGTTATACACAGCATTACCAATTTGTCCACAAGCGATCATTGAATGACCTGAGTGATACATTCTTTTTTTCTGGATTTGAAGTTTCAATTTGTGATGCATTTTCTTTGGCTAATGGAAATTTCCGTTAGGAAACTTTACACGAAGGATCTATAATTGAATAATGTTTTTTTATCCGTACAGTAATTAAACAGCCGGTCCTGATTCTCAATGCATGTTACACGATTCCAACTCTGTCCCAATCCTTTCGCGCCGTATTAAAAGACAAGAAAAATATACTGATGAAATTTTAGTTAAAACCTCTTCTAGGAGTCATTAACCAACTCAATTAATAGATGGTTCTTCCGGAAGTCTTGAGGAAAAAATGGAGCGAACGATTTTTTTTTTCTTTATCTTCCTTTCCGTAATTGAAATGTTCATTTTGAGATTCTCCGAGATGGTGGGAGTCTAGTATAGAACGTCCAGTAGTATTCATGGCAGCGTGAGTATGTATATCTCAATGAGATAAAATCTTATTGTACGAAACATCGGTGTTCTTTTGAGAATAGTGTTTTCAATAATATGAACACAGAAGTGTTAACATAAATCAACATTACATACGATAGGATCAAATACTAATTCAATTGAAAAATTAACCAATATTACAAAATTAAGGAGATTTAAGAACACGCCATTGTCTCATTTAAAAGAATATCCTAAGCCTTGTGGAACCTAGGAAGTGTATACAAGACATCCATGCCCCCGCTCCTATAAAAACAAAACTTGAACAAGCTTTTTATTGCAGTAGTTGTCAAATGTGGCCTGTTAATCTTTAACCCAGACAGATGAAAATATGATCAGGTGTAGATATTGACATTACTGTATGTTACACTATGGTGTTGATATGAACACAATCTCTTGGGAGTTAACAACCTTGCATGGATATTGTCTAGTATAAGGGTAAAAAAAAACCTGTTTCTGGCATCATGTAGATATGAATTGTATTCATTGTACAACAATTGCGAAACAAGTTATTGCAACTGATACTAATCACTCGCGCGATGGGACCCGCTGTGGGAGGAATGCGGAGTACCTAGGGAAAACCCACATTGTCGGACAAGTGTCCTCATACCTTACCATGTTCGTTCAGGAAATCGAACCCCGATCAGCTAAGTGTCTTACCACTGCTGCACCCGACCACCTAAATGTATTTTATAGGACAGTTACTGAGATATTCAATATTTCTGAAGGTGGTTTTAGAAGTTACGACTTCCAACGACTTTTATAGCATGCACATCTATCAACAAGATAGTACATAACATCGTCTTTGCCAATGACATCTTCACTGTTTGTACCGCTTCTACAACTGAAAACTCCTCAACTCATTTTTGTTAAAAATGAGCCATTTCACGTCAGATTAGCAATATGGTCTTGTCATTACTGCTTGATAAAACCTCAAACGTGTATTCCAGCCTGTTCTAGTCATCTTTGTAGTTATGTGTAAAGCTTCTGCAAGACGTAATATAAAAAAAAAAAAACAGTAAAAAAAAAGTCCGGAATTGTCATGACCCGATTTAGTGGGGGAGAGTGTCTGCTTTACCATCTTGTTCTTAACGTGTTTTTAGAGCGGGATCCCTAATTAAGTACTTATTTAATTTGGTGTGGCCCTAGTGTTATCTAGGCTATATTTCATCTTTACGTCAGTGGATATCATCAGACTTTTAATGTAACTCATGTTTTGTTTTCATAATCCATCATTTCATCCATCAATAAATGTTCAGAAATGGAATAAAAATCAATAAAACTACAGAACAAGGAAATAAGTCAGAGTGAGGAAGGATCTTAATAAGTCAGATGAAGGAAGGATATCAATAAGTCAGAGTGAGGAAGGATATCAATAAGTCAGAGTAAGGAAGGATATCAATAAGTCAGAATAAGGAAGGATATCAATAAGTCAGAGTAAGGAAGGATATCAATATGTCAGAGTGAGGAAGGATATCAATAAGTCAGAGTGAGGAAGGATATCAATAAGTCAGAATCAGGAAGGATATCAATAAGTCAGAATAAGGAAGGATATCAGTAAGTCAGAGTGAGGAAGGATATCAATAAGTCAGAGTGAGGAAGAAAATCCAAACGTATTGAAATTAAGATGATGAAATATTACATCCACTAAGGTAAAGTCGGGCAGATGGAGATGAGACATACGGTACTTTACTACGTTTTATAAAAGACGTCAATTTGAAATGTTTCAGATTAATATGTATGATAAAGAGACACTATAAGATACTGGGTATTATACGCGCAAGCTGTAGAGTACTTACCAGGTTTTAAGATTTAAAGATTTAAATATGTTTGTTGATATAAAAACCAATAACAATATGTTATTTTGTTAATAAAGTTTATACATTTCCGTTATTTGAATTGAACTGGAAACACGCCCAATCAAAATTCTAGTGTTTAAAATTCGCCATACCTGACGAAAACTGGAGTTCGTTAAACACGCCCAACCAAAATTTAGTGTTTAAAATTCGCCATACCTGACGAAAACTGGAGTTCGTTAAACACGCCCAATCAAAATTCTAGTGTTTAAAATTCGCCATACCTGACGAAAACTGGAGTTCGTTAAACACGCCCAACCAAAATTTAGTGTTTAAAATTCGCCATACCTGACGAAAACTGGAGTTCGTTAAACACGCCCAATCAAAATTCTAGTGTTTAAAATTCGCCATACCTGACGAAAACTGGAGTTCGTTAGGGAATTCATTGTCCTACACGAAACTTTCTGGAAAACTTATGTCGTTATCGTATTTTACAGATACAACGTACTCATCATTCTCGTGACATACCTGTTGCCTATGACGACACTGGCAGTGACGTATTCACGGATAGGTGTGGAGCTATGGGGAAGTCGTGCTATCGGAGAGAACACACCGGTACAGTACGAACGCATCAAGTCCAAGCGCAAGGTAAAATATCAGTCATCATCTTAATTAATCTATAACTGATTATAGTAACGATATTCATGCCGCTAATTTACACTTAACGTTAAATTTGTTTGCAAAAGCAAAAAAAATTATGACGATAACATGTCTTTTAAAGCTGCCATTCTATAATGGGTCTGTGTAATTTAATGACGCTGTAAATATGGAGAGCTGCAGAATCTGACAGTTTTTCTTCCTGCAATTGAAAATTTCAACAAAAAAAATCAAAATATGCTTGATGTCTTCATTTTAACGCTCTGACTGGTCTCTTATTATAGCTTTAGACGGGTTATAAGTCTGTCATTAGACTATTATCGTCACACAGTTGTATTCATCGTACAGTCATCTATGTTGTAAACTCAACAAAAAATTCCAAATAAAGAATTCTGCATCTAGATATATGCATCGCATTAGGTTTTGCACATGCATCCGGAAACCTTGACTGGAGTGTATTGTACCTGCCTCAGTCCAACTCTTCTTCCCTAGACTGGGTTAATTGAACCCTTTGAAGCGACGACTAGCGCAAAGACGAAAAATCACGGCTGGCAATCCAGTCTATGGAAACTTGAAAATTGTCTTCGAATTGAAAACAAAATTTTAAAAAAAATAGTAAACGCGATATGTTTATATATATATATATATATATATATACATATGTATATATATATATATATATATATGCAACAGCGATACAAATTTACTACAAACTTACCAAATATAACATCCTTTTAATACATGTAATCAAACCAGTATCAATTATTACAGATACATTTCTTTTCTATTAGGAACAAACTTCACAAGTCACATAAGATGTTATTTATCGCGTCCGTAACGTTAAGCTTGTGAGATGAAAACGATAATTTCCACGCAAGAAGAATTTACGGCAAATTGTAATGAAGAACTTATGTAGCTTTAACAGTTGTTAGACGTGTTACAAATTGATATCGTCAACTTCGTTACCAATTAAATATACGGAATGCTTACGGTTCCCTTTTACACTAAACTTAATATGTTATTTATGGTTGCCATATTCTAACATCTAGTTAGACTCGTGTTTTATATAGTACAATGTTTTATATCTCATTGCTTGTTAGGTATATTTGATATAAATTGCATCATGTGTAACCTGACGTTATCGAATAAATACCGCGCGATGTTACAGTATAAATTACATGTTTTACAATATGAGACACAAGATCATGAATAGACATTCACAAGACAATAGAATATTGTAACGTTTTACACGTCAGACGTTAGGGCAAAGAAGGTATATTTTGCACGATGTATCTGGTTGTTTTTGTTTTGAGTTATCGGCAGTGAAACCTGATTCTAGTAAGCCGTGATATCTCGGATATTACATTAAAGATTTAGATTGAAGAGGAAAGGTCACTGCCATACAGTAGTGTAAAGTTATGGTTTCATATTATATTTTACACAAACATATCAAATAGTTACCTTTAATTGTGCCAAGATTTCTTTCTCTTTTGTCTTCGTTTTACTGAATTAGTTCGTCTCATACATCGATGATGATACCGTGTAGTGAGTTATTTAATCTCTCAATCATTAAGGCTATAGTCAGAGGTGCTTATTACATGTGTTTGTACACTTTTTACAGAAATAATTTTGTTCAGACAGTAGTGTTTCGACATGATAACTTGAACATTAATTGATAAAACTGATATCATAAAAAAACTGTATTTCTTCAAGAGTTTCGCTGTAATGTTAATGAATACTGCCAAATCAGCGCCTTGGTTGTACATAATAAAACAAGCAATCTCAATTTGAGGACCAACCAGGAACTACTGGGCAATTGACTTTCAGCTCATTACATTCAAACTGTTCAACTACAAACAAAGGCTACAACAATTGAATGTAGATGACCTTAGAACTACTCTTCCGTCAGCTTGTTCTTGTTCTACCTCTTCATATAACTATGGTCCTCTACTAACTAAGGTTCCCTAATTATGACTTTGGTTCAAGAAGGCAAATAATGACTGGTAATATCAGCATTACTTTTCATGAAAGATCCTAATTTGATTCGCTTTCGGAGTAGGTTAGAGCCATTCAGTTCATCATTTCTTTATAGAACTTGAAGCTTGAAATTAAAAGTGTAAATAAAACACAAGTCCTGACATCCTGAATCCGCACTTCAAGATTTAAATGATAGGTATATTATTGTACCTGTAGATAAGGCGTCAGATAATATGTTCCTTGTCTGTAAACATTATTACAATTCATCTATACAAAAAGGGCTGAATTTGCTTGATATCGAAAGAAACCACGCCTATATATATTGTATATAATGCAATCTTTCCAAAAGAGAAATACTACTTAACCATGATTCGGTATTACAATAATTTAGATTGCCAATTAATGATAAGGATTAGGACCTTCCCCATTTATATTGGAAAACAAGAATCAATATAAACAACGATTTACTGCTATCTCGTATGACTATTCAACCAAACCTATGGCAAAACTACTAACCACTATTCTTAGCAATATCAAATCTGGGTCAAAGTCTGGTTTTTAACTCTGTGCACCACCATATCCCATTGTAAAAAGAAAGAACGCCTCGTCCTCTTGTTATGAAAGCATTTTGTCCAGGAAAGGTGAACCGAAGTACAAATAGATGGTTGTGAACTATACTGAAGAGCATTTCGTGGAAAATACGTTCAAATCAAATAAGAAATATATTGAGGACGATATCATAAAAATGATCTTCGTCGAGTTTTGTGGTAACCTATGGCAACTAACTCTGTCCCTCTGTTGGCTGTCTTTTTTTGTTTTCATACGAGATTTATTGAAAAGCCTATCACGAATGGTCACAAAAGCCTTGTTAAGTCTTTTAATTTCATCTTCAGACAAATTGATGATGTTTTTGTACTTAAATAAAAAGAGATTTATTGACTTTGTCCATCGTATATAAACCACCATAACTAGAAATCACAGATACGACAGACTCTTCTACATTAGCTGCTTATCTCAATCTTTTCCTACAACGAAGCCAACATGGGCAGCTGTCCACTAAGCTGTTTGATGAGCGTGATTCCCATTTTCCTATTGTGAATTTCCATTTCTAGATAACATCAAGCATGTATTTTCAACCTTTGGTGTTTACATTTAGCGGTTGGTTCGATATTCAAGGGTCTATTCCCATTATCACGATTTTCGTGCAAGAAGCCGTCAACTGGCGGACAAACTCTTAACATTGGGTTTCAAATGATTTAAGTTAATGAAAATTATGGGGAAATTTTAAGGTCGTCACAGTGATCTCATTCAGAAGAATTTTATTTCTTTGTACGATTGAAGCTGGACGTGTTTGACTGTTGTTTCATTTGTTGTACATCTTGTTGTCATTTGAGAACGTGACATAACTTACTTGGATTCACCAAGGTTTACATGGAAGATGTCGTCGATAAACAAAAGACGCATACTCTTCCGAGACACCTTGTCTTATCATCCTCGTATCTTTTCAGGAGTGTCTGTGTATTTTTTTCTTTTGTTCAGATCGTGACAGAGTTTGATTGAATTCGAGATTTGATTATGTTATGTTGCTATTTATTTATTTGTTTTTATTCAATCTGTTTTTTTTTTTTTTTTTTTTTTACTTAAAGGAGTGCTATAGTTCTGTAACTTATGTCAAGTTGCTGCTTTCTAATTAATATAACAGAAACAAGTTTTCAACTCGCAATTTTCTTCTAGGTAAACTAACCCGACATTCACGCTAATACATAGATGGCGGCATTGCTACACTGACCTTGATTATAAGAGACTGCGTTATATCAGCCGTATTACACCATGAACAACACAGAAAATCTAGACGTTTCAACACATTATTCCCCATCGGGAAACTAACAGGCTAATCTGTTTTAGTGAAAACTCCTGATTAAAACGTGTGTATGTCATTATTTCAGGCTGTGGCGCTGAATGGCGCTGAAAAGACAGTGATGAAGTCACACAGCAACACATTAATGGAATCACTTTCATTTCTGCTGTTAAACTTTTCGATTGAAAATGTTGGTTTGAAATATTGACTTTTGATTTGGATACAAGATTAGCATTTTGATGGCTTTTAACTTTGGTAATTATAAATTATAATTAAGTGAGCGTTATTTTAGGCTATTTGATACTTACTCACCTGAAACATTTATAAAACAATTTTTCTCTCGTTTATCTGTCAAATAAATGGTACAGTCCCCATGTAAGCGACCTCATTCACATCTGCTAAATTGTTATTAGTTATTAGATTATTTTTCACTGTTATCTGGAAAAGTCGTACATGGAACTATTTGTCTTAACGATTAAGAAATTAACTAGTAATTCGTCAATGCACTATTGGGTGTAATGAGTCACCAGCATCAGCAGTAGCGGGTCTATTTATTTTTACAGCTGTGATTTTTTAATGAACAAACGTTCTTGAGATATGGTGATGGATGTGGGATTGACGTGCACTGTGGAAGTTGTATAACGAACAGGAATACCCCGCACATTTATTTATGGATAAATACAGAAATATTGATACAAGTAAAAGTCTTATATGTTCTATGAAATTCCGTAAACGACAGCATTCTATTGATTTCTACATTTGTTCACTGTTCATTGCTGACTGCATACTCCTTGTTATATTGTAATTGTTCACTGTTCATTGCTGACTGCCTACTCCTTGTTATATTGTAATTGTTCACTGTTCCTTGCTGACTGCCTACTCCATGTTAAAATGTGATTGTTCACTGTTAGGCCCTTAGCATCACTGCTACGTGCTAGAAGGCCGAAACAAATGTATGGTGCTGTTCAATTCTACTGTGTCTTATCTAAATTCTTGTTAAAATGTGCTATTGTATTTGTACAATCTTTGATTGCTTACAGCCTACTAAATTCCTTATTTTCGTTTACTTCTGCTTACTGCCTACTTTATATCTACGTATATAAATATATCTAAATGAGTTGTTATTTGAAATGTAATTTAAATTTTGATAAAAAAAAATTTAAAGATACATCCCATATGTATATACATATTGACAGATTCGTTGTAATTGAGTCTCTAACCTTTGCTACCCATTACTTTGATAATTATTGATGATAAATACAAATACATATATTCAATTTACTGGGGGTTAATTGCAGAGATTTAGGCTTACTTTACTAAAAAATGGACACTAGACAAGTGGCCGTAGACAGTAAGCAGCAGGCGGTAAGGAGTAAACATATAGTGTATAGTAAAAACATAGCTGACAGTTCGCAGCAGGCAGTAAACACGTAACAGGAAGTACAATATGTTGTAAAAATAAGCAGCCAGTAAGCACATCTGTAGGCAACGAGAACAGTGGCAGTAATAGCCAGTAAGCAGTGATCAGTTGGATATAGCTAGCAGTAGGTACCAAGTTATAGGGAAAATGTTGTCCTGTATAGAATTGTATGCTCAGTCATTGTTAATATATAGTATCTCAACGCTCTGTGCTACATCTGTATAAAGAGTTCATTTTATCATTACTTACAACAACAGCCAATGGTCCACTCCTGTGAAATTTTGAATTACTTATCGTATTACTATAATGATTTGTTTGTAGTTGCTTTCAACATATTTGTTACTCAAAGTTTTGTTGTGATATGAATTCGCCCCCTTTTTAGATAACGTCGCAAAATTGGTTTGTACAAGTTTACGTCGTGAAAAGCCCCGCTATCTGTAAAACTCCTTGGTGTAAACATACCGTTTATAATGCAGATTTAAAAGAAAATTATTTTGACTCCGTCTTAATCTGCCTTAATCTGCCACGGAGCGCAGATGACAAACAGACAAAAATTGATATCCCATTATATTGCTTACAAAATTCTACCTCACATCTATTCGTCCACCCATACACAGTGTGTGTTTTCATGAACGTCACATAAATGACGTGCATAGATCTGATATACCTGCCTTGTAATAACCACAGATTTATTGAATATTGTTGATCATATTAAAGTTATTTTGGGGCTTTCCACTTCCTTTGATTTAATAACAATGACACCATGACAGACCCAGGACATATCATGTACTTGAGAGGTGTACAAGCAAGTGAAGAATACGACATTTACATTGATTAACATATTAAATATTTCATTAGTTATGATAATGACTTTTACTGGTGGTGAAGAGGATAAGGATGATAATCCATGACTTAACTGTTATATTTTAAAGTTGGTGAAGATGATGATAACCCATGTCTTACTGTTATATTTTAAAGTTGGTGAAGATGATAATAACCCATGACTTACCTGTTATATTTCACAGCTTGTGAAGATGATAACCCAGGACTTACCTGTTATATTTTACAGCTGGTGAAGATGTTGATAAACCATGACTTACCTGTTATATTTTACAGTTGGTGAAGATGATGATAACCCATGACTTACCTGTTATATTTTACTGGTGCGAAGATGATGGGGATTACATATGACTTACCTGTTATATTTTACTGGTGGTGAAAATAATGGTGATAATATGTCACTTATCTGTTATATTTTACAGGTGGTGAAGATGATGGTGGTTGTGGTGGTGATATTTGGGATATGCTGGGTCCCTTATCACTTGTACTTTATATTCGCGTCCTATACAGAGATTGAGCTCTATAACAATGTTCAGCAGGTCTACCTGATTATTTACTGGCTGGCTATGAGTAATTCCATGTACAATCCACTCATCTACTGCTGGATGAATGCTAAGTAAGTATTCTGGTCCAAATAGCTTCTTCATTGATATCGATATCTCCTATAACATTCACAATATTGTCTCCAAAGTGAACATAATGTAAAGGTGAGTTGACAAGTGTGTAGAGAATTAAACATTAAGAAATCATCACAAAAGAAACTGGATGTGTTGGTTCCATATTTGACATATTTTCAGTGTATGTAGTTTACCAAGTATTACCAGATATTCCACATCGTAAGCAGCTCCTCCTTGTTGGGACGTTATAATATTCCTAATAAAACATGACCTGTGTAAAAATGAAAAATAATACGTTATCTTTTTCTTATAAAAACAAACATTATAGTCTGTGTGTTGTATAAATCAATTAAACATTATCTAAAACTTTAATCTACGATAACTTGAAGGGTCAAAAGTATCATGGAATCCCATCCATTAATTGGAATGTAAATCTCAGATGGAATCTATGGTAACTATGCAAGAGAGTCAGCGAAACGAGAACGTGCTGTGTAGATTCCACTTCAGTGTGCATTAGATCTAGTTGGTCCATCATGCTCAAAAGAATTAGCAGCCTGGAATCCAAAATGAAAGCAGAACACAGGACTGTGTTCCTTGATCCTGATGTTAAATCCACACTTCACACTTTACATGATAGGTATGATGTCGTGTATATAGATAAGGCAACCAATAACATTTGTTCGATAACTAAGGAACACCTGCCTGCACTACATCCAATCTTTTCAAAGAAGAGAAAGCTGGTTAATCCTGCTTCAGTATTACAATCGTTTAGATTGTATAGTAATGATAAAGATATGTATTGGATTCCTGGCCTTCAGAACAGGTTTTATAAACATCGTTTTATTTCTAGCTCGCTTAGTTAATCAACCAATCAAAATTCCTTATATCCATTTCTAATTATAACAAAATGAGGGTTAGAGCCTTATGATGATACTGTGTTTTACTAAAGAAGATATATATTTTAGAGCACACCAAGAATTTTGACCATTCGAAAACAAAGTTTCTTCAAAAAGAACGTTTTATTTTTCTGCTACCACATCCCATTATCTTGTAATCCTTCTTGCTATCCTTTCAAAGTTCTTCCAACAGACTCTTGACATACCTATGGCGAAAACCGTGCTCCTCTTTTGGCTGACTTGTATTTTATTTTCATACGGGCTGAAGTCATCAAAGAACGTATCAAAATAGATCCTTGCAAAGTTGTTAAATTTCACTCTCAGATTTATCAATGGCATCTTCTCAAGTGATTCATTCCCCGGGTTTATAATATAAACTGACCAGATTCGTAAACAAGGGACGTGACAGTCTTTTTATTTCCATTGGATTGGTAATGTCAAAAGAATAGAAGTTTTTACAAACACAACCAGTTTACAACTCGTCACACTATTTTTTACCTTAGTGTACATAAGAGTACAGACGAAAAAGTTGGTCGATTCCGTACCATCTCGTACACTCTATTCAACTAATAATCTTCACATTGCTCATTTGTCTGATGAAGTGATGAAGGTGACAGGGACACACCAAATTCTTCAACTACAGGTTTAAACAAGTTTAGCTTTAAACCAAATTATATAATAAATTGGATTATTTAAATTTTCCGACTTTGAATTTTCGATTTCTGGATAGTAACAAACCTGTATCTCCAACTTGTGGCATCAACAGCTCACAGTTTATTAGATATCCAATGGCTTGATCCCAATAACACGATTTGCGAGTAGAATGTTTTAAACTGACTGACAAACTCACAATACAGGGTTTAGAGAGATACTGCTCAGTGAAGATTACTTAACGGTCGTCGTCTCATTGGGATTTTTTTTTTTTTTTTTTTTTTATTCTTGAACAATATCAAGTTGGATGTGCTTGATTTTCGTTAGTATGCTTGGTAATTCTGTTGCTGTTTAACATTTGAAAATATGACATTACCTACTTGGATTAACCAAGATTGCATACCGGGTGCTGATGCTTGCCTTTCAGGAACACGTGGTCATTTTCTTCTTGTATTTCTTCAGGAATTTTAGGGTAAATCTTTTTCATGAGTTTGAACTGAAATATTTTCGACATATTGGTATATCATAGAAAATACTAATGATACTAAGGCTTCCATCGAAAAAAACAACTAAACAGTAAAAACAAGTCTAAGGAAGAAATATCAATTTCAGGCACGAAACAGTTTCATCGTGACGTATTTGCTTTGATCGTTAAATCAGACACAGTTAATACTAGTCAACACATTGAGCGTGCAATGAAACGTGGCAATTATATTTGGTTGTTTAAAGATTTGCAATGTACTCACAAGCGAATAACACCTTTAAAACTATTTTCTACATCATTTCGTCTTGAAGACGCCATTTTAAATGCTACAGACATCAAACATCAAAGTCAGCATCTTTACCCGCAAGTAATATTGCGTTACAATTATATCAAAAGAATGGCATTGTGCGGGATGTATTTCTGTATTGCAACAATCATTTAGACTTGTCTTAAGGTTGCCGCAGGGAATGTAATCTTTGTCAAGCTCGAAATTAAACTCCATAAAATTAACACTTGCAACCAATTTAGAGTTATACTCGTGTTTGAGAGAATATAATGTAATTTGCAAATCAAACAATTCTGCAATTACCCAAAAACATCAAGAATTTATATTCTTTGTATTTATATTCAAAGACAGACGCAAGAATTTTCACGTACAACATTTGTTAATTCCTATAAAATTGGATAGAATTCATAACATAAAATCTTGGTTTGGAATCGGCAAATAGGTAAAAAAATGTTTCAAAGGAAAAATGTTGAGCATTGTTAAGCTGATCGAATCGCACGCAATCGTTGCTGTCAATCAGTGTTAACCAATACTTTTGTCGCCTGTAATCCCCAGTATGGCGACAGAGATGTTGGAATAGGGACGTCCGTGACAAGGCAAAAAGCCGATTTCCTTGGCTTGGAAATCGAGGGAAATTGAACTTTTACGATTATTTCCGTTCAGTAAACAAAGGTTAAAGAGTAGTGAGTGAATAACAAGTTATAACAGTCCCCTTTTGATATACATCACCGTCAGGGTTGCATACAGTTATCGGATTGTGTGCCGAGCGATTGGATTATGGTCGGCTCATGGACAATGGCAGACACAAATTGCCACTATACTGATTTAGATTATACCTCGTGATACTCACTTTGACGCTTGTAATTAAATGTCAAAAGAGACGACTGTTGAATGATGTCTCGTGTATTAGCCATATGCTGGTTATCGTGTGCCAAATACGAATTGGGCTCATAGTTAACCATACAAGTCGGCCAACGCAGACTACAACAGAAAGGAAGAGACCACGTGATATTGAAACGGTCCTATCGACCAATCAATCAGTTCCTTTTCATGGCATACATACATGTGGGTAACTGACGACAGCTTACGTCACTTACATGTAACACATGGTAGATATAGTTATTGTCAACTCATTGTCTAGGGTGATGATTACATTTGGAGGAAAATAAAGTTGACTTACCAAATTAATTTTTTTATTTTATTTACGACTATCCTTTTTATTTCCGACACAAATAAAACATTTCTGATAATATAAGTTGTAATATCATATGTTTTTAATCCACTGTTGGTATATCTGTTCGCTCACTTATACCGTGATTTGTCTGGTCGCTCACTCATGCTGTTGATTTGTCTGGTCGCTCACTCATGCTGTTGTTTTGTTTGGTCGCTCACTCATTCTCTTGATTTGTCTGGTCGCTCGCTCATTTCGTTGATTTGTCTGGTCGCTCACTCATGCTGTTGATTTTTCTGGTCGTTCACTCATTCTTTTGATTTGTCTGGTCGCTCACTCATTTCGTTGATTTGCCTATCTAATCGCTCAGTCATTCATTGCTTACATTGTCGCTTACAAGGTCACACGTTCATGATTAGTTACTCTTTATAAATGCAATTTATTCAACTAAATTGTATTTAATACTTCCGGCACTTCATATCCGGTAACAAGATATGTGATATTTCCTATCATAATTGTTTGGTTCCTCAATACTGTGAAATACGTCCAGTGTTAATTCATTCGTCCTATGATATGAAATACTTCCTGTTCAGGTTTATTATTTCACGTGTTATGCAATAATTCTAAATGTATCCCGTCATATATTACACAATACTTCCGGTGTAAGGTTATGGAGCCACACGCTTTTTCTCCCAGTCCCAGTTCCCAGTCAACATCAATGTTTAGAGGTTCCTGACAGGTCAGTTTCAAATCAGAGGTTTCTTCCTGTTGAAATAGGGAAATTGCTAAATTATTTCTTTTTCTTTCAATCATGTTGATTTTTTTCTCAGTTGCCTACAATCAGTACTTGCTCATAGTAACAATACACCCTGATAATGCATTCATATAGAGGAATCCCTACAAACCATGGACTTAGTACAGGGACAATTGGGAACACTGTTAACTTGGGTTTCAAACCTTAAGCCCTTACCATCACTGACGAGTACGAAACGGCTCTATGTTGACTTCATTATTTAGTACTATGGTATAAACTTGCATTTCTTTGTCTTTTGTACAATATTTTACTTTTTGCCGAAATACCATAAGATTTCTATTACTTTTCTTTGAGATTTAAAGCTACACCACTGCAGTTCTTCTACAGGATTGTACGGTCAGATTACTGTTGTGTATATAAGTTAATATTATTACTATGGTGACCATCGACATAAAACGATGGAATAACCTTATATTGTTGTGATTACGACCCTTATGTGCCTTTTGTTTTCTCTACATGTTGCGTCATCAGGGATTGGAATCTAGATAAAAAAAAACAACAATAAAATACCGGTTTTATGACAAATCTTAATTCAAACTCAAAATATGATACATGGTCAAAAAATGGAGACCTTCGAAAAATAATACCCGTAAAACTGCATGTTCCGAAAGGGTAAGCGTCTTTGCTCCATAGAAGTCACTCTTGATGAAAATCTTGGTCAATCAATCGCATGCTTTTACTAGATATTCGTGATAACTAGGTTTTCCGCCGAGATCATGGTAACGACAAAAACACTCTCCCGATGTCTTCATTAACCACCGTTTTCCTAAATCGTTATGGTGGAACAAGTCTGATATTATCAACGTGTAAGGATTCTTGTTTAGTTACTAAATATTTTAATCAATTCAAAAAGAGCAATACTGTTATGAGTTAATAGCAAATTTTAAGTTTTCTTTAACCCTCATTCATTCTCCGCTGCTTTTTTTATTTTTTATTTTATTTTATTGTATTTTTATGTCGCTTTTTCCAGTTTAGATATCGATTTTGAAACAATTCACGGTGGAATCTCATAAAAATCGTTGTGCATAAGACATAAATCTTCAAAAGAGTGTAGATCATTCTCAAGGAGGCGTTGTCAATGGCCGACATACAGAATATATCAGTACCTATTTAGGAATACTTTATTAGGACATATACCTAACTGCTCTCATAATTCTATCAGACTGATTCCATAGAATCATTTGGACAGAACACAGTGGAAATGGTTGGTTTTGGATTGCTACAAACAACAAAAATCTGGGCCATTAGTTGGAAAACAGCATGTGTCTATACAACCAAATTGTACGTTTCTGTTTTAAATAATATTTATCTAATGTCAGTCGAAATATTGTCCGTACTCCATTTCGTTAGAAATATTATATGTCGTTAATGCTAAACATGCTAGATATCTCGTCAGAAGGCAAAAGAAGCAATCTTGGTAAAAAAAAAAATCCTACTTTTCTCATATAAATTATTTTCTGTTTGCTTTTTTGTAGATTCCGTCAGGGTTTCATCCGGGTGTTTTGTTGTTGTCCATGTGCCCCATGTAAGCGCGCGCGAAACACGATACGTCATGGGCGAACACTGTTTCCTGCAGGACAATATACAACCACCGAAAAATATGACCGTAATGGGTCCATGATGCATACGATGACAGAGTATGTGGACGATCACAACAGTGCTGTGACGAGAAAAGACAAGAAAGGCAGGCGGGACAGTGATGATTACCTGTAAATTAGACGCTATAATATGTGGGCATCACGGAGATGCTAGACTCGGAGGAATCGCCCAGCGCTAACTGGCCTTAGTTATACCCAAACAAGGAATAACAAAAATGGTATTTTTACTTCGAGTTTGAGGTTTGCAGGGAGAAGTTAAGTACATCAGTGATTAATTGTTTTAATAAACATCTATACGTAACTGAAATAATATGTATTCATTTCATTCAAGAATATGTTCACAATGACAAGCTAGAAAGAAAGCGAGAGAACTGTGTTGGAATGTTTAGAGAACATCAGTCGGCATTACATGTCAAGAGGTAAGGTATTTGTTTTGTGACCAATACAATAGTTATGAAACTAAGTTTCTGTCGATACTGAAAATGTTAACAAGTGTTGGAATTTGAGGACTGATAAAGTGCCCGAAACAAGTACTGATCTAAACATAAGTTCTAATACAAGGTGAGAATTTTCCGGCGTCTAACATAATTTAGAACAGAACCAGTTGTAAGGACTGTAAGACGAACATACCCCGTACATTCTGTAAATGTACACGGGACAAATGTATGTGTTACATCCATACATGTCTCTATAATCTACTTTAGGTTGGATTTTGTTTTAAAAGAATACTTGAGTATTGTTACATTCTATGCTGCTTTGTCTTTTTTATAATATACATATATATCCCCGTCATACCTTTTATTTCCGAGTGTGTTTGTAAATTACTAACCACGGCTACAGCGCCGGATACCTGCTCGCTATTGACCTAGGTCTGTTATGTATCCCTTGTCATAGTGATCAACATTGCATCAGCCGATGATGGATCAGCCATGTCACAGAAAACCTTTGAAGCCGTGATAAGGTTTTGTATTTAAATAATTTCTTGTCTGCCATTGATCATAGAATCAAGTTGGAATTTAATCGAAAACAGGCATCATCATCATCATCATCATCATCATCATCATCATCGTCATCATCATCATCATTATCGTCGTCGTCGTCGTCGTCATTATTTATTTTCATTGACGTAAGCGGTACGTATCCTGCTCCGGATTCTTCCAGATACAGTATTATCTGACTCTGCGCCAGACCCTGAGATCATTGTAACACAAAGGTACGCAACTAGTTGAGGGCAAGTTGTAAGTCCAAGACTTATCTTTAAACATAATGACAGATCTCTAAGCAGTATATACATCTCAATACCTTTTAAATCATTACATCCTAATGGAGTACATGGAGGGAAAATGTACGGTGTGCAGCATCAACGATTTACATAGATTGTTATACGCATTAAAGAACATAAGGGTGTGTATAATTGTACATGAAAGTAAGTAAATGATGTAAGGAACCATACCTTCGTTCTCGGTCCATCTCTCATCCGTTAAAATTACGTTTTTATTGATAAGACATAATCATGTTTGTGTACAATCCAATCAAATTATAATTAGTGGAAACTAGCTTTCCTCAGGATAGTATGTCAAGTGTAAGTTTAAGTATATAAAATGATTGTATTATTTGTATTTGAAATCACAATGTTACGAAGGTAGCACAAAGCTATTCTATTCTGATTTAAATATGGTATATTATAAATCGTCCATTCCCTGAAATACATAGCTGACTTACGTATCGACGCTTTACATGTCTCTGTGGAAAGAACACTAGGTATGGGAGAGAAACGCTTACTTAAGCTTCTCATACCTGATTAATAATTAGATTAGATATAAATCTAAAGTAAATGACTAGATCTTGTAACATCATAATCTCTACTAACGCCTCGGTTGGGATTATGTTACAGGATCTTAGCCCTCAACTGAAATACCCCGATCTCGTTCAGTTACAGGTGATAGATTTTTCTCGCACCTACTTCTCTGAAAGTTATTCAATATTTCATTAAAGTTTGGCGTATCCCGTGGGAGCCTGAAACTACCCTTACAGCCTCTTCACTTTTAAACAACGTTTGGATAGTACCGCGTAAACAATGTAGGTCGCACATTGTTTACTTTTCAAGAGTGAGAGGCCGCATTTTCAGTTTCGTTTTAAATAGGATTAATTGAATAGAATATCATTGAAATTTCAATAACAACTCATCCTACGTTTTTGTTGAAATGCACGGGCGTAGGTGCCATTATGCATACATGAATACATGAATACATCGATGCGTAAAGAATTCCGCGAAAACACACGTAAGGGTAAGTGAGACAGATCGGGCAAGATAAAAAAATCTAGGATGGGTTATTGCGTGGGAAATACCCTGTTTGATGTCCAAGAAACAATGATGAGGTGTTATTTTTGTTTTCCTTTTTTCCTTTCTTCTCTAAACAAATGAATATTGGCCAAGGATACTATAACCGATCCATGTTCATTTGTTTTTTTTATGTTATACCAAATCTAATTAAAATCGTCCCTTTTAATTCACTTTGTTTTTATTTTTATAAGGTGTACATTTCAAAGTGAAATGAGCAATCTCATTTGAATTAGCTTTCCCTAAATGATGTACAAATACTCGTAATCACGAAATGTTCACTTTTGAAGTAGGATTATATACAAGATAAATGATGAGGTTTCAGTGTATTCCAGCAACCTTGTTATTAATATGTTTTCACTTGATATGATAAGCTTTGTAATATCTATACATTTTCATTGGAATTTGTTTGTAGAAAGGTGTACCATACATTGTACATGTGTCTACATTTCAGGTTCATTTGTTCATCAATAAGATTAATTGTGATTATATTACAGTGTCTATCTTGTATATTGTTTATTATATGAGAATAATTAATACATTTTGTTATTTTTGGACTAATATGCTATTCGTCAATTTACACTGTTCGCTTGACCCTGTAAATAAGATTGTATGTATGTGTATATACTGCTCGTCATTGTGTTATATTTATGTTTGTGTTTAAAGAAGAGTGGTCATTATTTACAATGGCGTTGATCACTAAACAATCAATAACGTATATTTTGACATGATTTCTCTCTTCCTTACCTTATATTGTATAAATGATAAGTTATTGGAATATTCTGATTTGTGTATAAAGATGTTATCGTTGCCGTTCCATATGTCATCACCGTGGTGTCAGTAATTTATGTATAAGTAAGGTTTCGCTTCTTTACTAACGATGTTTAAAAACGTTTTCATTCTTCTCTTATGACAATGTATAAGATTTACTAAGGACACCAGGTATGTATTGAGGACGAGTTCTCGTTACTGATGAGGTCAGCACCATATGTGATCGCCATTGGTTCTAAATAAGGGACGTGTTCACATCACTGAACATGTACACTGGTTGTGTTCTTATTAAATACACGGGAGGTGAAATGGTCACGTTATTAATTATGTATGCGAGACGTGTTCATGTCGTTAATTATGTATACGGGACATGTTCACGTCATCGAGTAAGTTTTTCAACGTCGTCTAGATCTAATCCATCACAAACAAAACGTCCTTGTGGTTGTTTTTAAGGATGACTTGAGGAATTCAATTCTTCCGGAAATTCCCGGATTTTAACTTGCTGACGTCAATATCTCGTCAAGTTGGAGTATAAAAGCATTTATTTGTTCCAGATTATAAAAAATTATATATGAATATTAATATAAGCATTAAACTTTTACCAGATGGTAGTTTATAGTCAATATAAATATTATTTGGATGTCGTCCGTTAGAGTCCGTTCAGGCGACATCCGATTTATCTGCCCAAAACGGGCAACATGATCATTTATCTGTCACCCAAATTGTTTTGGTATCGACAGTATATTACCAACATTCATTCATTGCTGAAGTATACGGACTTTTATTGAGGTCAATATTAATTTATACGGGTTATGTTGACGTCATTGATTACGTATACAGGACATTTTCACCATATTAAGAATGTCCGAAAATGTATACTCGTCATGTTGATATCATTGATTAGGTGTATGGAACATTACATGTCGTGTTCACGTCAATGATTATGTACACAGGATATGTTGACGTCAATGATTATGTATACGTGTCGTGTTCACGTCAATGATTATGTACACAGGATATGTTGACGTCAATGGTTATGTACACAGGACATGTTGACGTCATTGATTATAAATACGGTCCGTGTTAACGTTAGTGGCTAAGTACACAGGACATGTTGACGTCATTGATTATGTACACAGGACATGTTGACGTCAATGATTATATATACGGTCCGTGTTTACGTTAGTGGCTAAGTACACAGAACATGTTGACGTCATTGATTATATATACGGTCCGTGTTTACGTTAGTGGCTAAGTACACAGGACATGTTGACGTCATTGATTATATGTACGGTCCGTGTTTACGTTAGTGGCTAAGTACACAGGACATGTTGACGTCATTGATTATATATACGGTCCGTGTTAACGTTAGTGGCTAAGTACACAGGACATGTTGACGTCATTGATTGTGTACACAGGACATGTTGACGTCATTGATTATATATACGGGCCGTTTTTACGTTAGTGACTAAGTACACAGGACATGTTGACGTCATTGATTATATATACGGTCCGTGTTTACGTTAGTGACTAAGTACACAGGACATGTTGACGTCATTGATTATATATACGGTCCGTGTTCACGTCAATGGTTATGTACACAGGACATGTTGACGTCATTGATTATATATACGGGCCGTGTTCACGCCAATGACTACATACACAAAATGTGCTTCTCCTTTTGTCTGATGACTTTTTTCTGAAATTATTTTACCGTGTATTGTTTTAGACAGCTAAGTCATTAAATGTATATAAACAATCGTTTAATTATCACCAGACTTGCCCCTGTCCTTATTGTTCTGTATTTTGTCTTGTTCTACAATAAACTGTGACTCGTTTGAATTGCGTTTAAGACTTGTCTATTTCATCTGCCAAAGACCATAAGATCTCGGGCAAAGCACGCCTTCTTGATAATTAGGAACGATCGTATTTGTGTAGAGAGTATTATAAGGTCATTCCAGAAGTTTAATAACACCAGCTAGAAATGTAAGCAACAGAAAAAA